AACTTTCACAACGCCTGCCATTTGATATAAATAAATATAAGTTAGCAAGAATATTTCCTCAAAAATGAAACAGAGATGGAAAAGAATATTAATATCTCCAAAAGGTAACTACGAAGCTTCACAGCAGCATCTCGATCGTGATGGCGATACATCCTATCACCCTAATCTCACGTTCTCTGGGATCCCCTAAAATGAGGACTTATTACATAATGTAACACGTTTATACTTAGAAATGAAAAAAAGGCGCCAATTTCACCTTAAAGTTATTTATTTATTTATTTCAAATGGCAAGCATTTTGATAGTTATCATTAGCTCTTTAGTGGACTTCGGGCTTCACAGAAGGGAGGAACATTAAAGTGAGAAAAATTCGACAGGGGAAAGAAGAGCGATTTACACATGTAACAGACAGACACAAAAGGCAGAGAAAAAGCTAGATGAATACTGTGGAAGGGGTCGAATATGACATAGAGTGGGGTAATGGTAGTTTGAAGTCAGAAGTCAACTGCCGATTAATAGACTTTTTTGTCGTATGAGTATACGTTGCCCAGGGTGCACCACGTGGAGGTAAGTCTATCACACACCCCATTTCACCTTAAAGTTATTTTCGAAAATTTCATACGGGGTGCACTTTTTCAATGCATTTGAATAAGTAAGTGCTTATTATTATTATTATTTAATGAATTTAAGTTGATGTTGATTTATTTATGTTATCTAATTATTCCTTTATTTATATTGGAAAACAACAACTACTTTGGTACACCTTCGTACTGAAATCTGAGAAATATGAATGCATGACTCTGAAAACGATTTTTGAATATTGTGTCAAAATCTCATCTTTTACAATTTTTTTTCACAACTATTTGCAACTCGCAAATGGCATATAACTGATGAAATAAAAATTGGAAGATTGAAGTATAGTACCGATAACCCATAGAAAACTGTCCGATTTAACAGCTAGGCTATAAGTGCTAATCATATGAAAATAGAAATGGCGAAATGTTTTTCATCCCATAGTTATTCAATTCAACTACTTCACCATTAGTTTGAGATTTTTCGAATTTAATTTCGCTGCGCTATTTCAACTCATTTATCTATTGATTTTTAAGTAGCTATTCAATTGCTTGATCTAAGACACACCTCAACCTGGTTGCTGAACTCACCGTGTTTAAATGGCATTGTTAGCCTTGGCCACATTGGTATTTGCATTTGATGCTGTCTTTTGTAACTTACAGTACTGATAAAAAGTGTATTGATCAACCCAATATTAAGAGTGGAGGGGGGGAGGACAAAAAAGAGACTGAGGTCGTCGTCAAATCGTCAGAGTCTTACTTCATTTGGATTTTGGATGGCTATTGATCCCCCCAACTTGTTGCAAATTATTGCCCATGATTGATATTATTTAATTGAAAAATAGCGTCGTGCTTGACACCTCAATTAATCTTTTTCGTCAAGCGGTAGTGGAATTTGACACAAATAATGAAATTTAAGTAGTTACTAATCCTAACGTGAAAAGGGGATGTTTTATGAATCAAGAAGTTGAAGATGAGGACTCACCCATTACCCTGCCTTAGGGGTCTCATTTTTCGCTCAATTTTATATAATTTCCTTAATTTATCATATTTTTCGATTACTCACTTTACCAATAATTCTGTCGCAGTAGAATTTGTCCATATCAGTGCGCCCGAGTAGGTTATACTGCTCCCCGAGGCAACGCATGATCGCATTGGCCTCCGTCATCCACTCGAGTTTCCCATTGTGGTGTTGAATACGAAGAGCGGGAACACGGGAGACAATGAGTTCCTCCCTTATCAACAACCACTCGCTATAACGAATCGGCACATCAGTATATTTGAAATTAAGGTGAGCAAGAAGCAATTTTATGGGTCCCGAGTAAGGACACTTTTTCATATGATAGAACTAAAACAAACAAACAAGAAATATTTAAACAAATAAGTATAGTAAAAAGCTTCAGCATTTCAAATTTTAAATGGTAAATTAAACTATTATCTGTGAAGTTCACATTGCTCTTAAATCACTAAAGCATAAACTGAAAGAGAATTGCTCTAAACTGTTGAGAATTATGAATTTAAAAAAATCTACATTTAAAAGTTATTATCCGGGTTTGTGTACTTCACAACTAACTGCTAAATGGGAACATTTTCGGTAAAATAAAGCTCAATTCCCAGGCGTAGGTTGATGCGTAGCCCCAAATTTTATTGCTCCTCTGGAAATGGTCTTTTCATGAGAAAGTAATTTTTGCTTAGTGACTTAAATATCCCACCTCAGGCAGAGGATTGAAAAGACAACGCTTTTGGGCAAAATGAGATAAGTTTTAGTTGAAAACGTACTGTAATTGTCGCCTCATCAAGGGATGCCATCTTCTGTCGCCGCACTATACTAGATACTAAAAGACCTCTCACAGAAATGCCAAAACTTCATTTGTCAAGAGCAGTTTGACTGCAACCAATAAAGGCATTTCAGTATGTTGAGTGGCACACAATTTACATAACCTAATTTTCATGCACAACCTGGTGCAAATAGCGATAGCCCTACTGATTTTTTTGGCTCATGAATAATCATACCATGCACCGCAGGGCTATATGACTGTACCGTGTGACATCTCTTCTTACAAAGAAGAGCGCAGATTGAGAAAGAAGAGCCAGTATATTGCTTTGAGGAGGATTGTGCACTGATGTACCAATTTACCTTACTGATTAAATGTGATGAGTTCATTATCACCCAGATCCAAATTGCCATGATTTAATAAAGATTGATAATATCTGTACATCACATTGGAATGTGTTATTAATACAAATTTTAACTGGGTAATAGAATAGAAATGTGAAGAATTGAATCTCTGCGGATTTGTCCAAGTTTTCTACACAAGTGGTTACTAGTTTTGAAATGGTCCGAGCACATTGGCAGTCTCTTGATCTGCATGAATACAGTTTTAATGCCACTAAAAAGTAAGTTATCATTCACACAAGAGCACACAATTATTCAGATGCTCATCTAATGTAACCTCAGTCACCACACACAAATGCCGCCTTTTCGTGATCGATTTCTATTGTACATTATCGCCGGTTGGTTGAAAAATATAGAAGATGCCAAGAATCATGTTCCCAATCAGACAATGACTATCCCAAAATTACGAATTTAAAAATATTTCAGCAATTCATTTTTGAAAAGGCGCAACTTTTAAAATCTGCTCATATGAGAAGATTGAATGCAATTATATCTTTCATTGTTCAATATTAAAAGTGGGGTTGGAATTTCAGATTTGTTTGAGCTTACTGTTGACCTATTTTTAAATTTGGTAAATCAGAATGCGGCGTATTCAGTCACAATAGAATTATTTTATGCTAAAATTTCAATAATATACAATTTAAGTCCGAATATTTGATTCTAATTTCTATTTTGTAAATAAACTCCAAGTTGGAAAGAAGGAAGTATGCACTTACATTTTCATCTTACAAAACTATTTTAGTTCGTCTTTCCAATAAGCTAGATTATTTTCCCGCTCGTGTGGGGTGATCATGGCTTGAAAGCAACCATTTTGATCGTAACCCACAAGCACCTTCGTACTTCGTATTCTTCTTCCGGATTGAAAAAGCTGCACCACGATGGTCACTCAATTAAATTAATTAAGCAATAGTCTCGGAAAATGATGGAGTAGAAGACAAATTCCTATATTAGAATAAAAGGGGTGTGCAATAGACTTACCTCCACGTGGTGCACCCTGGGCAACGTATACTCATACGGCAAAAGAGTCAATTAATCGGCAGCTGACCTCTGACTTCAAATTACCATGACCCCACTGTATGTCATATTCGACCCCTCACTGTACCCATCTCACCTTTTTTTACCTTTTCTACCTTCGTCTTTGAAACACTCTTCTATTCCCCCCCCCTCTCAACTTTTTTCACTTTGATATTCCTTCCCCTCTGTGAAGCCTGAAGTAAACTAAAGGGCTAATGAAAACCATCAAAACACTTGCCATTTGATATAAATAAATAAATATTTGAATAACACGACCGGGTGGAATAGAATTATGTAACCGATAAAAATAATAAATTTTGATAGAAGGATATTCAAATGAAATGACACGCTTTCCTTAATCTTATACCACCGCAAAGGCAAGAAATCTCCTAATTCAACTCACGTATTTGAGGCGACACTTCGATTAACTGATTTTTTGACAAATAGGGTAAATAATGAGACATTAAATAAAAATCAAGTAAAATCAAATTATCTTCAAAATATGATGAAAACGAATGCCATATATTTCCTATTACAGTGCCGACTATTTGATATTATTTGTAAAAAGTAAAGACATACCTTAGTTTTTTTTAATAAACAGCTTTTACTTAGAAATTTCTATTAACAATTTTAGCATGAAGCTCTCCCTATATGAAAGGCAAAGGAAAGGGTCTTCTTGTCTGTACTTTGTTGTTTAAACACATTAAAATCCAACTCTTTAAGTAAATTGAAAAAAAAACAATTAGCAAGCACTAACTGTCTATTCATGTCTGACTGTAATTCCCAAACAAAATGTTGCTTGCTTCTTCATTCATTCGCGCGAATAAAAGCATGCTATTGCCATACTAACAAACATATCCAATCAGTAACTTCGAATTAATTTAGTACGATAATCGAATTTATTATTTCATTTATAATGTATACATTATTTAAAAGAATAAAATAATCAGATAAAGTCACCAATCAAAAGTGTCCTTGGGTCTTTAAAACCAGCCCTTTATGATAAGCCATTTTCGTCAACCAATCACCTGCCTCCGGCCACGTGCTGATTTGCACATATTACATACATGCTGGCAATGACACAATTACTGGTCTCTCTTATTAATTGCACGCCTTAGTCTTACGAAATGTCAATCAGATCAGCTGTTCCTCTAATGACTCTCCAAAATGATCACAAGAATGTGGGATGGAAAGGAAGTGGCCAACCAATAAACTCCCAAATAATATCCCGACGTGTGACTTTCAAGGAGACTGTATCAGTTAGTAGTCCCAGAAGGATTTGCCGCGTATCGCCAATTCAAGAAGAGAGACGCAAACATTTTCGATCTCGATCGATACCTCCACAGGGATATAATGACTCTGACTCCTCCAGTGGAAGTGAAAATTCCTCTACTTCATCTTCGGAATCTTCCACATATACATCAGAAACCTTCTCACCAACGGCCACGTTCTATTCGTCTTCAGAGACTTCATCAATGTGTTCCGACAGTTGGGAAGAGGAATTTAAGATTTTTGACATTCTGAAACACTCTTTCTCCTGGGATATCTCCAGTAAGTTAAACAAATTGTTGCCTTTTTCGCTTCCATTAAGTTCTCACTTCGAATTTTTTGAACATGTCGATATCCCTATTGATTTTGGATTGTTGAATTTCTATTTGCTAATCAAGATAAAAATCCAAACTTATGAAGTTGTCATGGTAATCATAAGACAATGGGAAAATTTTATTTCGGAATTTAATCAAGTTGCTATGCTCATATTTATAGATACAAGTTACAAAATTAAGAAATTCAAATCTTATCTTTATTTATATTACTTGATTAAAATTAAATTTAATGTTTCCTTCCTGATAAAGGCTTGAAATGTCAAGTTCCCCTTTATTCAATAACAAGAATTTTACAGTTAAGTATGCCCACTGACTTCAAGCAAATTTCTAATTCTGGTCCGATTTTCAACAATTGTCCAATTTAGGTAATATAAGTGGGTACAAGGGTATTGAACACAAAGACTGTTGTTAATGAAGGTGCAATTTCGATGTTAATATTATTGCTTCTTAGCCAATAAATTAATATTTTTATGGTGGTTAGGTCACAGCTATTTATATATGGCATTTTGAAATATCTTTTACATCAGTCAAGGTTATCTTCAGATTGAGAATCACTAATTTTGAAGAAATTGGAACATTGAAATTTATCGATTAATATTCTTAGAGTTTGTTCATGGTTTTGCTAAATAAAAAATAATTTATTTAAGAGATCCATATATTTGGAAACTGACTCATAATCAACATAAAGAGTACTTAACACACCCGAGCAAATGAGTGCATAAATCAAACCGATCTAACTATTTAGTCTTTCTGAATATATATATATATATATATATAT